AAAAGCAGTGGCTCGCGATCGCTTTGCAACCTACGATCGCACGCGCACACGGGCGCTGCGGCTTGTCCAGTTTATGCAGCTCGTGCTCATCCTGCGGCAGCGCTGCCTCGAAAAGCACGTGGTTGGCGACGACGCACCCATGGTGGCCGCGATCGTGAGCTTGATCGACGTGCATCTCAACGTCCCGACGGCCGCACCACCCGTCGCGCCGAGCTCGCCCGTCGTCGAATGCGCCATTTGCCTCGAGGCGCTACTCACGTCGCCGCTGACGCTGCAATGCCACCACGGGTTCCATCCCAAGTGCATTGGCCCGTGGCTCGCACAGCACAACACGTGTCCACTCTGTCGACGCACCTGTCACCTCTCGTGCAGCGTCTGATCGGCCATCGTCTTGCCGTCGGCGCCATCGAAGCGCCTCTGGTTGTGTCCATGTCGTGTGTAGCAGTCAACACGTTTCTACTATTAATCAATCAATCAATCAATCAATCACACGAGGTCGCGTTGAAATGAAATGAGCAAAAACTAACGGTGCTTGAAGGAATACCGTCCACGGTTGACTGCTGTCAAGGCAGCACAACGGCACGTCTACAACCGTCTGAGCCACCCGAGGGCGTGACCGCGCACCTTGTCCCGCGCTTCCGTCTCTTTCTGCCTCGACGACCAGGTCCCTCCGCCAAGTGCACCTTACGAAGACCGTCCGACGTGATTCTCTGGCGTAAACTGCTCGATGGCAATCAAAGACCCACGTCCGCAACCAAGTATGTATGCATGAGGAGCTGTATGCATGGCAGGCGATCGCACGAGCTGGGAAAGCAGGATGCGCACCTGAACGTGCCACGTATGAATATGCTCTATCGCGGCCAAAGACCTCGCAGAGCTGCGCTACCGACGTCCGCTTCGGAGCCACGCACTGTGTGAAGGTAGGCGCACGACGTCGAATGCACTTGATGCGACCACCGACAAGGAAGCATGCATCAACCAGTGGCCGAATATCGATGGGTATGGCGACCGTTGGCGTTGGCATGCGCAAGAAGAGCGTGGAAGAAATCATCGTGAACTCCATGGATCCTGCCGTTTTCGTATGCCTCTACTCCGATGGCAGTGGATCGGGCTACCGCTTGACGACGCGCTGGCGGTAGTATTCGTCGACGACGCGCGTCGTGTCGGTCTCTTCGTGTCGCAAGAGCTGTTTGTGCAATGCAACCGTCTTGCGCAAGTAGACATTTGCCGCGTGCACCACGTTGCGCAGGTCGTCGCTTTGCAGCGCCTGCCAGACGAGCATCGGCATCTTCCAGCATCAAAGATCGATGCGTACCTCGGCCGTCGCGCCTTCGTCCCGCAGCAGCTTGTACGCGCGCTTGAACTGTCCTTGGGCCATCGCACCGTACGCCATGTTGACCCGGCATTTGCTACGATCGACGTCCAAGGATGTCGCTCGTATATGATCGTCGTACCTGGCCAAGATGGGGTCTTGGAGGCCTTGCGAGACGCAGATCTGGAGCTGCGCCATGAGCTTTGCTTGGTTCAAGTGGCGACAGAGAAAGTAGCCACCTACAGCGCGACCGCAGCATGAGAGGTTGGGCGTTCGTCGTCGATGGCATGTGTACGGACCGCCAAGCGTCGAGATGTAGGCGTTGGCCGTCACAAGCGCTACGACAGCATGTGTAAAGCGCGTCGCGCGGTAGCACCAGCTCATCGACAGCTTGTACAAGGCTGGCACGAAGGCGATCTTGATGGCATCGGTCTTGCTCGCCGCCTTGTCGATGGCCGGGCACAGCGCGCGTAGGTAGCCAGCATCTTGGCTCGTCGAGAGGTAGTCGTAGAGATGCGGGTCATGCACGCATACATGGGCGTCTCCCGGCGCGGCCTCGAGGATCCGACGCTGGTCCATGGCTCGGAGCAAGGTTGAGGTCGCTCCAGCAGTGTCCGGTTACGTAGACTCGGTGTTTGTATGTACCGCACGGCAACCGGACAGGGAGAATAACCTAGTATGATCTTTTATCTACCTCCATGAAGGATGATTGCACTGGGAAGGCGCGCTCTTTTTTAAATCCCTGCAAAATGCATATATATTTTTTATCTATCTATATATAGTGTTTATATATCGACCTATATTTACTACAACAGAGGCATACTAATAGTGCATTTAAAATAGGATTGTAATCCCTTTAAGACCTTTTCAAGAGCATAAATACAGGATTCTCTGCATGGCATTCGTTTCATCGCAAAAAGGGAAATTCCCAACGCGATCTTGAGCGTTTTGCAGCTAAATTTACGGAACGTGGCAGCCCAGTCTGGACCGCCAACGCCCAGCCGCAGCCCACGACGGTCCGCCTCCTCTACCTGCCTAGCTTCGCCTCACCGTACGCGCCCATGAACCCCGCGAGCACCGAGCCGCGCCAGGTCATGCTCTTCCGCAAGAGCCTGCGCACGCTCTCGCTCTCGGTCTGCGGCTGCCTCGTGCTGCTCTCGATCGTCGGCTTCAATAAACTCGCCAAGCATTCGGTCATGAGCATGGACCAAGTCGAGGCGACGACAAGCGACGGCTGCCTCCTCTTCCTCGGCCTGACCTTTGGCACGCTCCTCTTCCTCGGCGAGTTTCGCTGGGAGCGCTTCTTCTTCCTCTTTGGCTTTCTGCGCTACCGCCTCGGGCGCACCGTGCTCTACGCCGTGTCGGGTACGCTGCCAGATTGACGCCATTGATGCTCATGGTGCGTAGGTATCATGACGATTCTTGTCGGGCGTACGCGCAGCGGCTGCACGGGCTGCACCGAGTATACACTCTTGCTCGCCGAAGGGATTGCGCTGCTCGTGGCCGGCATGCTCCAGCTGCTAGCGATTCCCGTGCTGGGCGCCAACAACACGGCGCCCGTCGAGGACAAGTCGGCGAGCAAGTCGCAACTTGTGGCGCAGCCGACAGACAAGGTACCGTCTGTCATCCATGCAGATCGGTGCTCCTACATGTACGACATGTAGGCCATCGACATTGCGGCCGTGCGGCTTGGATCGACGCGGCCCGCGGCGCCGGTCGATACGCGGGTACGTCCTGATGTCGGCGCATCGAAACCCATGGACCATGCCTAGTCGCCGTTCGAGGCGTCTGTCGCGGCGCCGACCAAGTCGACGGCGCCGAGCAACCCCAACTTGCCAGCTTGGATGCAGGCGTGAGCCAAGAGGCGATTGCATGTACTACACCCTCCATTCTAAAGCAAAAACAGCAAACCAAGCATGCTCCGAGTGCATTGCATGCATGTCTCATAGTCATACCAGACCTCTGCACCAGTGCGTCTGGTGAGAGCACCAGAAATGGAGGCGACTACTGCGCGTGGCAAGCGGCTACGTCCCATGCAAGCTTATTGTTGAGCTATCAACGTCCTGGCTGTATCGAGATGGTTACCGCCGTTGGAACCACAAGAACTCGAACCCAGCTCCACTACCTGGTGGTCGACATGTGTGTCGAAGCCGCTAGATCAAAGCCAGTCGACAGAATCTAGCATTCTGACGCTTGCCTTGCTCGCCACAGGCATCCGTCGACGCTTGCCCTCTCCGCACAGCTCTTTATACATGCCATTAGCATCCATGGACCTCGGTACGAGGTCCGACTGGTAGACAAGCAGGCCTGCAGCCCGCTGCTCGTATGCAACAACTCATTTCATTTGGACACACGCATGGCGCTACGCTCGCATCCACGCTGGGAGGGTCGGGTCCTCGGTCTCCTTGGATGGCTAAGGTTTGCCTTTCTTTCGCAGAGCAGCGCTTACGAGAGAGCTCGCGGTCGTTGTCGATGCGGTGACCGACCCGTCGTCGTCCGCCTAGTCGCCACATTGCACTTTGAGAGTCCTTGTGTATGTCGTACTACCAGCTGTGCGGCTGCCACGTCATCGTGCACGGCGCGGTTGGCGCCGAGGACCGGGATCGCCGTGAGGTGCAAGCATGCGACGACGAGGCACGCAACGCCGTCGATAAAGAGGAGGTAGTATTCGATGCACGATGTTGTGCAGCTTCCGCGGCTCGTGCCCACAAGCAGCGCCATGCTGCCTACAGAGCGCAGAGGTGTTGGACCCAAAAGACGAGATCGTTCCGGGCTACCTGCAATGCCAAACGTGAAGGCGCGGCCCCACCGGTACATGAGGAAGCCAAAGAGGACGTAGAAGCGGTGCCACTGCAGCTCCGAGAGGAGGAGGAGCGTGCTGAGCGTGAGCCCGAGGAAGAGCACGACGCCATGGCTCGTCGTCGCCTGGAGCTCGGCGAGCGTCGAGCCGAGTGCGAGGTTGCGGAAGCCAAAGACACACAAGCCAAAGAGGCTGGTTGACGTGAGCAGGCTGAGCGCGCCGAGGCTGCGCTGGTACAGATGCGCCGAGCAGAAGCTCATGGGCATGTGGCGGCGAATGCGGGAGTGAACCGGTTGCCCGACGGTTGCGATGAAACCCACAAGATCCAAACCCAAGACTCAGGATCTCTGCCTCATGCAGCCTTTGCTAATGTCTGTGACAACGCGTTGCTTGCAAGGCGTCAAGCAGCGTCGTAGCTCGTGGCGATATCGTTGTTGCGTCTTGCGGTGTCGACCAGGTGGAGCTGGGATCGACTCCGGCGGGTTACTCCTTTTCTGATGGTAATAAGGATGTGGGGTACATATCAGTGGATGGCTTCTCCTTAAGACCCACCGAAGCAATGACTGCGGCGAGCTTGTGATGCATGGCGCTGCCGGCCACGGGCATCTGGACAGCTTCTTACACGAGCATTGCGACCAAACGGCTTCGCCCTGTGCGTTGTTGGATGCGGCCACCTCGCTGTTGTGCGATATCTGTTTGCACTTGGCCTATTCCGAGCCATAGCGTGCTCGTGTCGGAAGGCGTTCGCAGGGATTTGGTGGCTCGGACAGTGAGTGCGAGTGTGCATGGTCGACAGTCGAGGCACCTAGAAGCAACTTGGATGATGGCGTATGGTGGTGCTTTCTGAATCGTGTGGAGGTATCGAGCTCTAGTCGTGGTCGGTACTTGCTACATGTAAGACTGGTTCCGCATCGGAAGTAAGGGGCGGTACTTGATTCCAGCGCGGCTAAAACCTCGCCGTGCTCAAAGGAGCCATTTTGAATCGACCTGTCCCCAAGGCTACAGTATTGACCGTACCACTCGACGCCTTGGTTGTCGTTGACGCATCGGATCCACCCATGGGATCCAACCAACGAACACACCTCCGATGATGGCCATAGGTAGCCACACAGTACAGTAAATGCTATGGGTGGAACAGGCGTAGGTTCAATCTGGTGGCCTCGGGCCAGCTGGTTTCGTCGCATCGGCATGGTCTCGCAGGTGCATATCGCCAACGACCTTGGCATCTGTTTCATTGCACCTCCTCCGACCGATGCCACCGACACGTCGGTCGCTCGCGGCTCGAGCCGCAGTATAAAACCTGCGCCTTCGCTGTGGGTCCTTCATCCTTCCAGCATGCCCTCCTCCACGTCATGTGACGTGGTTGGATTTCGATTGAGATCTTATTGCATCCTTAATGCACCGTGGTATGTGGAGTCGTGGAGTTAAGATCCGCGATCTACGGGGATGGGCACATTGCAGTAGCCAATTTTACTGCGCTGATCCGCAGCCGATCGGCAACCGAGAAACAGAGCACATGATATTTACACGCACGGCGCCGCCCGGGATCCAATCTCCCGGGCGCCTCTCCGTTGACAACACCGAGACTACCTACTATCCTATCTGTCTACTACACACCTCACTGCTTGAGTGAGAGGACCCATGACTGGTCGAGCGCCTGGTTCTGCATTTGATCGACGACGCTGGCCTGGTGGTGGAGCAAGAAGCGCATCTTGACGTCCTTAAGCGCGCTCGTCTCGTCGTCCGTCATCGGATGCAAATGCGCGAGACGCGGCACGTCGGTGTGCACCTGCATCATCTGCAGCTGCTTGCGCATGCGCGTGAGGTCCGAGTGGAGGCGGTCGCTGAGGTACGTGTCGAGCGACTTGCCAAACGGCACGCGCATCTTGCCGGCCTTGATCAAATGCAGCAGCTGGCGGAGGTAGTCGAGCTCTTCTTGGACCCACTCGCCCTTCTCGACGGGGCAAAGCGACCCAAAGATCGAGTTGGCGTCAAAGCCATACATGAAGTACGTGTCGAGCCAGTCAATGACGCCGTCGTGTGCGACCACGCAGATGTCCTTGCCGCTCTTGAGCCGCGCAATGGTCGCTGGGCGGCGGCGGCTGCTGCCCCGGCGCTGCGACGGAAAGATCGTGAGTGAAGACGGCGGCGACGGATGCTTGGCGTGCGCCGGCTCGGCGTCCATGATGTCGTACATGCCCATCTTGCGCTTCTTGCACGCTGGCGGCGACGACATGCCTACATTGGTATGAGCCTCTACGCGCGCGGACGAGGTTGCTCTTCCTACCCGTGATGACTTCGATGCTAAAGTTGCTCATCGGCCGCGTCGGCTCGTACGACGGCGCGAGCTTGATGGGTGGCAGCGACGTCGAGAGCGGCGTGTCGTGGTGGCGCTGGAAGGCATGCAATGGCGGTAGTGGCATCATGTACTCGGTCGGGTGCATGATGGCAAGTCAAGAAATGGAGCCACCCGAACGCAGCGCTGCTGCGACCAGATGGGCCACATTGCCCTTGGCCGCCAGCTGGCGCCTGTCCCTCCATGGCCACCACAAGCGCCGGAAAGATCGAGAGGGGCACAGAATTGCCTTAAAAAGTACATGAGAACGACTGTCAAACTCCATATATTTAATGGTCGAACGCGGTCATTTCACAGGAGGCGCGCATTGATAGATACATGTCATCGCGTGTTATTAGCTCTTCTCGCCGTGCCGCATCGAGCGGCGAGAGTAATCGGGCCATCGCCACGTGGTTGACATCCCTTTCCCAACTTGCTAACCAAAATGCTCAAAACAGTGCAAGGCGAGGAGGTATTATCCGACTGCTCGAAGAATCAGCTCGTAAGGAAGGAAGCGTTTGGCTGGTCGATCGCTACGACGGCGTGTCCCTTGCAGATGAAAGAAGACGACGACGACTGCCGAGGCGGGTTGCGATATTGAAGCAACTCACTTGAACGAATTGCGATCGTGGCCATCCGTACGGCCACATGAATGTGTCGCAGGGTGCATTGCGCTGGACTCAAGATGCAGGCTACCGCAGCGCATTGGTGGCTCTCGCTGCTGCTGCGTTTCAAGTGACTCGCGTGTCGTCGCCTCCTACTGTACCAAGACGCGGCTTCTTCGACTTCTTCAAGCCTTGGGCAGTGACATGGCCGCAAAATTCAGCGCAGGTGGTGTTACCATCTCTATCATGGATACTCGTGCTTCTCCTCGAGGGTGGTGATACTGTGTACATGGCGCTTGAACATCGAGCGCTGACATCAACTATCACTCGGTCGACGCGCGTAGATTCTTCAGGGCGATCAAACTCGCTTGCTTTGGGCTACCGCGCTTTCTTTTTTGGGTCCATGGGCCCATCGCCGCCCGTGTCCTCAGTAGGGGCCCGTGACATGCGCGTCGTCGCTTGGCCACGCCAACGGACAACATGTGGCGGGACCGTGCCTGATACCGTGGGGCTTTTTTGCAAGCACGTCAGTGGAGTGCGGTGCTGACAGGGGTATCATTAGCTTCACCACTGGATCCATTCAACCCATCGATTCGCTTTGTAGCAATCGCTGGTCCCTCGTCTGGTCCCGTGGTCGTCGAGGTCGTGTTCCGGCGGGTTAGGGGTTCAAGACACGTTTCTGAATCGACGCAGTGTACGACTAGATTGGACGATGGCCTTGGCACGTGACCGTAGGGGCCTTCGTCGTCTTGGGCTGCATCCGCGCAGCCGCACGATGCGGAAGGATTGCGTGAGGGAACACGGGCGATGATCGGCGATCTTTTTTGAACTCGTTGGATCAAGTTGGGTGATCTCGTCATTGATTGGCTACGCGATAGAATACTGCAATGCCATTGGACGATAGCGGACCGATCGCGCGCTGCTGCCACCCACACGTGCCACATCCCGCGACGACGAGTACTGATCAAGCTACTTCAAGCCAACGCAACCGCGATGGGCGATGCGTTGTACCACTGGCCACTGTTTTTACTAACGCAAGGTCCTTGACGAGTCGAAGGCTTCAAATGTATCGATGGCTTCGAATGTGAGAAATCATGCTCGTCCGCGATGAAGGCAATGGCGCAGTGCCGACAGTGGTTGGCGGTGGAGAGAGGCGTGTAGCCAGAAGCGAGTAGGGACCTCCGCAAGAAGATCAATGTGTCGTGGACGAGAACGCTGTTGATTATTGTGCATGTTTGAACGTTGAGCGATATTGTCGCTTCCACCTCGAACGCCGCAAGCGACCTTGGTCGAGAAGCGCCGTGTGCTATAGCAACTGCTTTTGTTGAAGGCGCACGGCGGGGGATCGCAGTGCGGCTCAAAAATGATGGCGATGACCATGTCTAGGTGGTGACGAGAGTGTCGAATGGATCCAACACAGTTTCACGCGGCATGTCCTCGAGTCGCTTCCATTGTCATACGATTGTATAAGAAAACTATGGAACCATTGGGATGCGGTCTCGAGGTGATGGGCTGCATGCCTTCTCTCCATAGCACAAAACTGTTTAAACGTTATCTAGTGACGCCCGCTACATATGTACCCGTTCATGTGACCTGAGGCTCCGAACGCTGCGCGTGGCATTCCCGCCTGACGTGGCCAATGTGATTGGGTCGCGACAAAAACGCGTTTAAAGTGTTAAACGTTTGGGTCCACACGTAATCGAATCCAGTGTAATGACGTGACCCAACAGCATCCGGAGACGTCATCATGGCGTCGCTGCATTGGCTCCATGAGACGGCCACACAGACCTCCTTCGCCCGAGAACGGGCTACCGTTCTTTACAAGATAGAAGCACAGTCAGCATTATAACCCATTCTACTGTCGCAACGCAGTGCCTCGACGCCTTTTACCTGTCGTTCCGGTACTAGTACACCTCCTTTGGCAACCACTACGTAGGTACTCCTTGTCCGGCAGGACGCTTCGAGACCACACAATCGTTTCTGACGGAGAACTTCGTCGATAGTTGCTCCACCTAGGGGGATTCCGACCTTTCTAACCCCAATATTTCGCCCTCTGTGGTTGTGTTATCCTGGACCTTTGCGCGGACTACTCTTGAATATGGTTGGTGCTAGCACCGCTGCGAAGACAGCGACGACGCTAGAAAAGCATTGAGTCCTTCAACCTTCGTGCGATTCCTTCGTCGATACTGCTACTTCCGCACGGCTCATTCTTCGATTTTGTATTGTTGACAATGTGGTGTGATTTCGACAGAGGATGCTGGAAGCCTAGTACGGGATTTTAGTCGCAGCTGAGCTAACGTTGGTGAAATGGGGTGACTGCGGGGAAGCTCGCTTTGTGCGCGGCAGCCACCTTGATGGCTTTGCACAATAGATCATGCAGGGGTCGTTTCGAAAAAAGAAACGAGGCATTTTGCTCCTCGAACGCCGAGCACGAAGTGTTGGGGGCAAACTAGAGTTTCTTTTCTTTTCTTGGCATCCAGCCGTTTTTGCGAGTGGCGGTATCGCTTACAAGTAAATCGTAAGCGGAAGAGGATTGAATCGAATATGATCACGATTCAGGGGCGGACGCGCCCCCTTTATTGCTCTACCCTTCTCCTCTTCTCTTCTTCTATTGTTCTTCGTGCACTCGACCATCTGTGCTTAACACTTTTTCCACGTCTTGGAATCGCACCTTGCCGACTCTGTACTTTCAAGCAAACAGCTTACCCGCCTCGCCCACCACCGGCATGGCCAACACAAACCGAGTTGTAGCCCCTAGTAGTTATGATTGAGGAAGAAGCGGACCGTGGTGATAATAGATTGAAGGAAAACACTCATGGTCGTCCGGACGTCGACTTGTCTCCTGCTAGTTGTGGCTCTCGTTTACATCTTGACGCTATCTCTCAGAAGCCACACTATCTTGCAAAAATAAATGCATTCGCAGTCATTGACTAGGTCTGCACGACGGCGTTTGTGACCTGAATGCGGCGCGTCGCATCTTCGTAGATCTCGACGCGGAACGTCTTGGGCGCCTCGCACCCGCAGTCGAATACATTGTTGAGCGGGCCCGCGGGCACGAGAGGACAGCCCCGCACGATAAAAATGTACTTGATGCCGCTTACGACCTGCTTGGCCACGGACACAAACTGCACGGGGCACACACGGGGCACGCTTGCCGACGCAAAGTTGGCGTCCTTGGTCACGGCGCGCACGTACAGCAGCTTGTCGTCCGCCGTCGCGGGGGCCGGCGCCGAGACGCCGCCAACAAGACCCGTCTCGACAGTGGACACAACGTCTGTGATGCGCACGGGCTCGTTGATGGCCTCGAGCACCGTCACCATATACGCGTGGCGCTGGCCATTGCACGAGCAGTTGGAGGTCGCGGTCGTCGCGCACCCGTGGACGCCGACGTGGTACTGGACGCCAGCAACGACTTGCTGTGTGGCCCACGCCACGTCGGTGGCGCAGAGA